CTCTCTGCTCTAAGTGTCTACCTCCTCCTCATTGCTAACGGACAGCATCTGATCACGGTCCTCACCTGGAGCCTCCTGGCCAACTTGCTGCTACAGATGTGGCTTGCCAGTCTGTGGCTCCTCCAATCGACCCAGCTGAGGCTTCTCTTTCAGGCTAGCATTCTCTGAGCCCCAATCCTGACCAATACTTGACTTTCCTCTGCAGACTCAAATTCACCCTCTTCCTCTGAACTTGCATCTGGAGAGAGGTCTGAGGGTAGATCCAATGCACTAGTCCAAAAGTGTCAAACTCGCTGTGTCACATGACCTGTCACAACATATCGCAACTTTTTTTGCATTGCTGGAGCTGGGGTGGGTGTGGCCTCTGTATGATGCAACTGGCTCACAGGCTGGCAGTTTCACACCCCTGCATTAGCCTTTCAAAGAGAAGGATTGGGGTGTCAGGATAGGGGGTCAACTAGTAGCAATTGCATTAGCAATAGTACTTAGATTTATATACTGCCCCATAGTGCTTTACAGCACTCTCTGAGCAGCTTACAAAATCAGCATATTATCCCCAACAATCTGGGTCCTCATTTTACTGACCTCAGAAGGAGTTGGTTGTTCTTATAATCCAACTAAATGCAGAATCATCGGCAGAAATCGAACATAATTTGAGCAATTTTGATGCAAAAAGTCAACAGTTTAACTGATGCACTGGTGAATGCTAAGATAAGTAAAGCAATACTTCTGCTCTTTCTTATGCAGAAACCAGCAGCAGGAATGCCACTGTCACAGGCTGGTTTTTTAGAATTTCACTCATACAGATAGTCCTTGACTCATGATCATTCATTCAGTGACTGTTTAAAATTACAGTAGCACTGAACCAAGGAACTTACCCAGGTTTTGGTCACGGTAGTACTTCTGCAGTCCACTGAACAAAATTTGTGCCCCTGGTAATCTCATTGTGAACCGACCACAATACATTGTAGTAGTCCTCCCATACATCTTCTCCCATCCTGCCCCACTGATTCCCTGCAAACATTAGGCCTGCTTGCTACCCCAGAGATCACTTTTGGGAAAGAGAGCCAGCCAATCCACTCCTATAAAGTATGGTGGTCCCATGGTGCTGTGCTGCAACTGGGTGCCATTTCAAAGTAACCCCAATCAATTGTGGTCGCTCCTAATGTGGTGCCTGTTTCCAAGAACACATCACATGGCCTCTGTATAGAAAGACTGTGCAATGGATCAGCTACTCCCTGAAGGAGATCTATAGAGAAAGTACGTGGATTGAGCTACAGTATAATGAGGAATAGGGAGAAGGGCATGGGACCCAGTAGGATGGAAAGCAGGCCCAAGGCCTGAGGGATCCAGTGCAGTGGGGAAGCAGAGCATGGGATGCCTCAGGAGGTGAGGAAGGCACTGGGAGGCCCAGAGCAGGCCCTGTGTGAATTGAGGAGTTGCTATAGTGCAGGCTTAGGGCTCCCAGGGTCACTCCCACCCCTGAGATATCCCATGCTCCACTTAATGACCACAACAGGGAGAGCAGGAATTGTGGTCATTAAGCAAGGTGGTCACATGGGCTTCTTGCTTAATGACCACTAAGACCTATGACCATAATAGGCAGGGTCTATCACAATTGTTAAGTCAAGGACTCTCTCTACATTGCTATTCTTGTTTTCTATTTCTTTTTCCTTCTTCATTTCTTTCCATTTCTCTTTCTTACCTACCCCCTGTCAAATAAACCATTGTTTTGCCAGAGGGAGTAGACCATGGAATTATATTCTCTTGAGGATTTTCCTATGATTAGGCAAGGAATTCAGAGCAAGCTTTTTTTTTTTCCTCTTGGGGAGAAATACGTAGAATGAATATCCTGGTGGATAAAAACTTTGTTGATTTATCCTTTTGAGAATCACCCAAAAACTTATCTATTGGCCTCTGAAATGACATAATGGTCTCGGGAACAATACCCCATTTCTCACTGAGATAGGCATATGGATCAGAACCTCTGCATTTCAAGAAAATCTAGGGGCTTGCAGCTATATTCTCTTCAGGTATCTCTATCCACTGGAAATAGGATTTTGTCCTAGGCTTCTAGAGGTATTTTACTTTTTTAAAAAATTAGAGAAATGCCTAACCTGAGCACAGCTCTCTTGTTTCTCCAAAGCACCCAAACAAGCAGAAAAACTGATATGCAAAAAATGGAAAAAGAAATTGAGGGAGAAGAAAAGTGGAAGCTTCTTAACGAGTATAAATGGGCAAAACTCCCCCTCAAAAGCACCTTACAAAAGCACCTTCAAAAGCACTTTCCCATTTTTAATACTTATAAAAATACAGGAAGAAGCACATGGCAAGCTGAATGCACTGACTTGGAAAGCTGCTAGGCAAGAGAAGAAGGCGAGAGCCAGACTCAAGACAGATGATTTGACTTATCAGATGGAGTACTACATGACTAAACACTTGTTTGAATGTGGTTAAAAGAATAGTTAAATTTTGTATATGAATGGGTTTTACAGTAAGAGAAATGTGATATATAAGTAGTATAGCATTTCTTTATGATATGGGAAATGTAAAAATAATGAGATCATTTAAATGAATGAAATATTTTGTGTTGTGTCCTGGGCCTGATGCGGAAACTCAGCAGGCCCAGAAATGTTGCAAATGGTCCCGGGCAACCTAAAAGCTGCCCGGGACCAGACTGGCTGGCGCCGGACCACTGCGCATGTGCAAGACGCGAAGAAAGAAAGATTATTATTGGCTGGACTGCCTGGGTGTTGGAAAACTATAAAAGGCCTGCGTGCCTGTTTGCTTGTTGCTTGGAGTGGAGTTAAGGAGAAATAAAGAAGTTTGCTTTACGATGTGTTTCAAAGCCTCGAATTCCGAAACACAAAATTTTGGATATTCAAATGTAATCAACTTGGAGAAAATTATAACTGATAAGAAATGTTCTGAATACTGAGGGGAACCTAAGCTTAAATAAGAACAGGCGAGAACCAGACTTAAGAGAGATGACTTGACATACCAGATGGAGTATCATAACCAAACATTTGTCTAAATATGATTAAAAGAATAGTCAAATTTTGGAAATGAAGGGATTTTACAGTAAGAGAAATGTGATTTAAAAGTAGTATAGTATTTTTTTCTTTCTTTTTTTATGATATGGGAAATGTAAAAATATTGGGATGATTTAAATATATGAGATATTTTAGATATTTAAATATAACCAAAAAAACTATAACTGACAAGAAATGTCTTGATTACTCAGGGGAAACTAAGCTTAAATAATAGTTCTGAAAACAGGACCTGTAGTGATTTACATAAGATAAGCTTTTGCAAATGCAACTGTAAAATAAGCTGATTAGAAAAGACGTTACTTACTGATGTTGTTGTTAAATATTAGAAAAATGTTTATATTTAAATTTGTATGCATGGATAGTATTAAGAACTATATTTGCTTAATGTTGCTAAAAGGAGAACACTGTTAGAAGAAGAGAGGACCAAGGAAAGGTATTTCTAGTTCATATGCTGATTTTTAACGTGACCAACCGTCCTCCTTTAGGGAGGACAGTCCTCCTTTTGTAAGTTCTGTCCTCCCTCAAAAAGTGTCCTCCTTTATGTCCTCCTTTTCGATATTTGAAGATTAATCTGCAGGGCTTTTTTTTCCCCTCATAGAATGCTCAGAACGGTCTTCCGGCACCTTTTTTTGATGGGTTTTGTTTTCAACTTTTGCATGAGCTGTGCTACTCCAGCTATTGGCTTTTGAAAGCCAATAGGAATTGCTGCTGAGTGCGCCAAAACACCCGGCTGGCAAACTTTGCACATGCAAGTTGTCTGTATTATTGTTGCAATGAGTAAAATGTTTCTTTTATTTATGATATTTTTTTCTTCAATTTATTTGTGTCCTCCTTTTCATTGTAAAAAAGTTGGTCACCTTATGATTATGAAAGTATAGAAACTAACTATTATTGAATGTTGTTAAATATATGAACCCATACAACACATTGTTTTCTAAGCACTAAAGCTGGTCATTCTAAAAATTCAATAATATATATATATATTTTAAAAAGAACATTGTTGATTTATCCTTTTGAGAATCATCAAAGAACTTCCCTATTGGCCTCTGAAATGACATAATGGTCTCTGGAACAGTACCCCATTTCTCACTGAGATAGGCATATGGATCAGAACCCCTGCATTTCAAGAAAATCTAGGTTGCTTGCAGCCATATTCTCTTCAGGTATCTCTATTCACTGGAAATAGGATTTTGTCCCAGAAACCACTATATCAGTGCTAGGCTTCTAGAGGTATTTTACTTTAAAAAAAAAAATAGAGAAATGCCTAATCGGAGCAGAACTGTCTTGTTTCTCCAAAGCACCCAAACTGATATGCTTTTTGCTCCTGTGATGTTAGTGAGAGTACAAGTAGTCCTTGACCTACACCATTATGTTTACTGACCGTTCAAAGTTACAAAGGCAGTGAAAAAAGTGACTTGTGATCATTTCTCATATTTATGTTCAGCCTACCCATGGTCACGTGATCAAAATTAGGATGCTTGGCAACTGACTCATATTTATGACAGTTGCAGTGTCCCAGGGTCATGTGATCCCCTTTTGTGACCTTCTGACAAGCAAAGTCAAAGAGAAGCCAGATTCCCTTAATGACCATGTGACTAGCTTAACAATTGGAGTGATTCACTTAACAACTGTGACAAGAAAGGTCATAAAATGAGGCAAAACTCATTTAACAAATGTCTTTACTTAGCAACAGAAATGTGGGGATCAACTGTGGTCATAAGCTGAAGACTATTTGTAATAGTCCACTGTTTAATAGAAGACTGGTACTTCATTTTTTAAAATTCTGCTGCTGCTAAGCAACATAAAAAATGGCGTCCTGAGTGAGATTCTTGGGTGAATAGAGAGTTTCCCTAGTGCCCAGTTATGCAGACCCCCAATGATAGCCCTGCTCAGCATGCAACACTTTGCCAGTTGAATGTACTTCTTTTTAGTACCAGTTTGTGTTACCTGAAAATTTTGCATGGAGTGATGAGTTCAAAGTTACGGCCTTTAGCGTCTCGGATAGTAGAGTGGTGCATCTCAATCAGACAGATAGCAATGCCCATTTTAAAGAACTGTGGATGAAATATGGACAGGAACTGCTTTGTATGTATAGCAGAAGAATGTTATCCAAAACTTACAAGATTAACTTAAAACTGCCCTCTCTTTTTGATAAAGGAAATAATAGAATAAATATTGATACTGTGAGCTGTGATCCAGTAATTTTTACTGCCAACAGCTTCAACTGTTCATAGAGACTGCTTTTGTCTTAGTCTGACATTATTGCTTGGGCCCACTTAAAGAAACATTCATCTATCAAAGTAGGGAAAACAAACTATAATATATGAAATGTGTTTATAAAGAAATAATTAAAAAAAACTTTAGTCAGTTTCCTAAGACTGAAAGCCTTAAATGCTTACTTGCTCACTTTTGTACAGCCATGTCTCACCCAGAATAAGAATTACAAACAGTTTGGATTTATAGCCTTTGAGTTCTAAATAGCCACGCTTTTGGAAATGAGTGCTGCTGCTATTGAGGCATGTTGGAGGGCAAAGATTTTGCCTGTCAGTGACTTTCTGCTGAAGAGTGCTGCACCATTCATGCTGCTGGGCTATAGAAATGATAACAAAAGATAAGAAGGTTACAAATATTTATCAGAATGACTTCTGATATACAAACCTACAGAAAAAGTCACGTCTTTCTACATTTTCTCATTTCCAATGAAGAACGGAAGAATAAAAGGGAGTAATAAGAAACAGAGAAGTGCTGCTTGCAAAAGGAGAATAGTGACCCACTACAGAGAAACAGAAGTAGTAAGAAGAGAAGAAAAGCACGTTGGGATCAGGATGAGATTTGTTACCTTCACTTTCAGCTCGGAAGACAAAAATCCTGTGTTTAGTGATGACTTGGAATTTGTTGTCCTTGATGGAGCGCACCATGCCAATAACACAGAGAGGAATCAATCCTTTCGGATACGGTTCCTGCAACAACCCAGGCAGTTTGTGATTTTTGCTCATACATTCTTTTTTTTAGAATTTTCTTCCTACTCAAACTTAACCCGGCTTTTCAAAATATTTTTTCATTGAATATTTTAAATATATATATATATATGGATAAAAATAACAGAACTGGTGACTAAAAAAAGAAATTCCAAGTATTATAAAAGTTATACTTTTTTCAATATTTTATTAACTTTTTATTGACAACTGAGTTTATTACAGATAGTCTTTGACTTATGACCAGCCATTTAGCAATAGTTCAAAGTTACAACAAACCCTCCCTCACAAGCTATTTATGAGCCAGTTCTGAAGTTCCAATGTCCGCTCCCCCGATCATGTGATCACAGTTTCGGCATTTAGCACTGACCCACATTTATGGCCATTTGAGGTCATGTAACCATGATTTACAATGCTTTTCTATGTTTGTTTGATGTTTTTTCTGGAAACCAGTGTTTATTTCCAGTTTCTGGAAAAAACACCCCATAGTATACAATGGAGATGCTTAATGACCACAGCATTCACTTAACAACTGCCAAAAAGGTCACAAAATTGGGTCCAGTTATATGATGACCTGTTTTATGACCATCACAACTTGAGCAGGACTCAGTTATGGTTGTAACTCGAAGACTACCTGTATATTATTTTAAACATGTGAAAATTGCTGTAAAACTCTAAACAAAATACAGTTATCAGGAATAGCGGATAGCACAATGTGAATCAAACAATGAATTATAAATTACAATAAAATCTATCCATAATAGCATAAGACTGTCAATTTAATAAAATGCTAATTAAGACATTCTGTAAAGCTATATATTAGAAATTTATGTAGAGAAAAACCTAAAATTGAATATCACAAATAAATATGGTAGAAATCTATGGTTTCCAAATTAAATGAAAGTCTGTGTCAGATTTATTTTCAAGATATGAAGTTATTCTAGACATTGAAGCATAGTGTCAGAATCCAGCTTAACACCCATTCCATACTGGGTAAATGGAGTGAATAATGAGAAGAGGAAGACTTCAGAAAAGAAGCACACATCTAAGAAAATATGACACGTTGAAAAAAATAGCAGAACTGTAACTCACATTCTTGATTTAGATCAACTTTCCAATACCATTTCTCTCATTAGGATCAATCTTCTTTTTTCAATAACCAGAATCTACTTATTTTCCACCTACTCCATTTTATATGCCCCAGCACATGTAATTGCTTAACATTAATATCTGTTATATTGTTCCCACCTTCTCGTTGTTAAAATACATGAGGTTTTTCCCATCAAATCTGACGAAACGTCTTTGGAAAACATAATTCCTACGGAGAATGAAAGGAGACTGTATTAAATCCAGCACTGTTCACTAGGGACATGACAATGACTATTAAGGGACTGATGTTTATTAAGGGACTCAGCTATACAGGTAGTCCTAGATTTACAACCTCAGTTGAGCCCAAAATTTCTGTTACTACATGAGACATTTGTTAAGTGAGTTTTGCCCCATTTGATGACCTTTCTTGCCATAGTTGTTAATGAATCACTGTTAGTCACATGCTTGTAAAGTGAAGCTGGCTTCCCCATTGACTTTGCTTGTCAGAAAGTCACAAAAGGGGATCACATCACCCCGGGATGCTACAACCATCATAAATATGAGCCAGTTGCCAAGGATCCAAATTTTGATCGTGTGACCATGAAGATGTTGCAACAGTTGTGTGACAAATAAGTCACTTTTTTCAGTGCCATTGTAACTTTGAATGGTCACTAAATGAACTGTCGTACGTCGAGGACTGCCTGTATCTGCTTTTAAAGCTATAAGTGAAGAAGATCAACTCTACAAATAGTATTTGTTTAATCACATGCAAAGATATTAATGTATTTTTTTTAAAATAAACCTTACAATGGTATCTTTATTAGTCTTAGATCAGAATTACAAACTTTATAATATGATGTATAATGTAAAAATAGCAATGGCTAATTTTCTTATAAAAAACATATTTAGACTGAAAAAAAGAAGTTGGGGAGTAACAAAAGATAGGGTCCCTTCAGTCAGTCACCTACCCCTGTGGAGAGAGCTTGTCCAGCCAGCCACTGAGAACAGAGAGCGGCTGCTCTGACAAAGAGGTGTAGCTGGCATAGGGAGAGATGGTCAAATCGTCTGAATTTTCAACAGAATATGTGGAATCAGAGAGCCTGAATGGGGAACTGTTGAAGCTTTTGAAGCCTGCTGAAGCTTCCACGGTAGAGTAGTCCTCAGTCTCATTCTGAGCAATGCAGCTGACGATACCAGTTTCCCTCTTAACAGATGGACTCTTATCTTCTCTCCTGGGATTTCTGTCACAGAAAGATGAATGTCAGATTTGTTTAATCAATCAGAAACTGATAGAAATACGAATCCCTCTCCTACTGTAACTTGAGGCCAGTAAAAGCACTCCCAGCAAAAGAGATAATTCCTAACTCTGAAGATACATACTATTTATGTGAGGTATATAGTAAATATATATGTTCCACTGGTTAATTGTCCTCACTGTTAGGTCCTCTTCTATGATTCTATATTGCCCAGATTGCTGAATACATATTATAACTGAGTGAGCTGCTACTTCATCTGGCTGATGGACATCCTGATTTCTCTTGATGCTTTAGACTAGTCCAAGAGCTTCATGTGGAGTATAGTCATCTATATTCATCATTCATGATCAATACATTATTGGCTTTTTACTCTTATCTCTTGAGATGGACTGTGCGGTACTGTGGCTACTCCAAATATCAGAATTTAAATGCTTTGGTGTTTTCTGTAGTTTTTCCTAACTGCTGTTACAGAGAAGGCACTACTGAGTGGGTGCAGATAGTACATGATGGGATAGAATAGTCTGGATCAGTAGATTCAGTATTCATCTAAACTAGCATCTTGCTTGTGGGAATAAGAAGCTGAAGGCTGCACACATTTTCTCTGTTCTGCTGGATTCTTGCTCTAGTGCCAGACTGCTCTGTCACTAACAAAAGAGATTGGTTGGAAATTGATTGCAGACTGTTACAAAGCAACACAGCTCTCTAGGCCAATGTTTCTTTATCTTGGCAACTTGAAGACATATGGACTTCCACTCCCATGTTGGCTGGGGAATTCTGGGAGTTGAAGTCCACACATCTTCAAGTTGCCAAGGTTGGAAACACTGCTATAGGTACAAGGTTGCCCAAAACAGACTATTTCAATTTATAGTACAGGAACCCTCTTGCCTTGCTGAGGATAAAGATGATCCAGATTGGCCCCTTATGTGTTTTCCTATTCTTCTTCTCCTTGTGGCAGCAACACATGTTGCAAATATTTGGAGAAGGAAAAAAGAAGGAAAAAATAATTTGATTAAAGAGGGATGAGAGATTGTCAGGGTTTTTTTCCCCATAACCATAAAAAGTCAAGGTAAATTCTCCATCTTCTCACAATGGCCAATAGATACTTTATTCTGCCATTGCTCCCTGCTGCTCCCAGTCAGGTAGTAACCCTGAGTTTTCAAGAGTAGCCCTTGTCCCGTCCTGTCCTTCATGAAATATTCCAGTCCCTTTTAAAGCCACCCAAATTAGTGACCCCATAATAATAAATTCCACCAGCAAAAAGAGATGTTTTCTTTCATCTCTTTTAAATCTTCTTCCAATCAACTTCTCTAGATGTTTTGATAAAAAAAAAATCCCTGCCCACTTTCATTATGCCATATATGATTTTGTAGACCTTAATCTTGTCATCCACCTTAGTTGCCATTTTTGTTAAAGTTTCCAAATAACAGAGCTTTTTCTTGTAAGGCAGATTTTTGAAATTCCAATAATTCTGTTGTCCTCTTCTGTGCTGTTCCACTGAAATGTTGAGTTCTTTTTCACTGAAGGTTTCCAAACTAAGGTTCCATAGTCATCTGCCATATATTGTGTTATCTTGTTCATACTATTAGACACAAGAAGCTTCTACCTTCCTGTTTTACCCACTCCAGCATCTGCATATTTCTCCCATCCTCTATCATAATAGAATTGTAATTATGAGGACAAATGTACGAATAGTCCTCAACTTACAACAGTTTGCTTAGTTATCACAGCACTGAAAAAAGTGACTTATAACTATCGCAGCATCCCCCTTACATTAGGATGCTTGACAACTGACTCACATTTATGATGGTTGCAGTGTCCCGGGGTTATGTGATCATCTCTTGTGACCTTCTGACAGGAAAAGTCAATGGGGAAACCAGATTCATTTAACAACCAGGTTACTAACTTAACAACTGCAGGGATTCACTTAACAACTGTGGCAAGAAAGGTCATAAAATGGGGCAAGACTCACATGAGAAATTTCTTACTTAGCAACATAAATTTTGGGCTCAGTTGTGGTCATATGTTGAGGACTACCTGTAGTTATTATATGGCACATCTGTTTATTGTGTACATCCTTTTGCAATTTTAGTGCAAAATCTAATTGCTAATTATAAATCAGAAGTTCAGAAAGAATTTTCTGAAATATTTAACTGATTTATTTTCTAAAACAAAAAGATTCCATGTTATGGGTATAGGACATAGCCCCTTTTCATTGAGAATCCTCATAACCTATACTCTTGAGAATTGCTTTTCTGATTTGGTTCTTTCTTCCTAGGTTTAAAGGAAAAATGGATGAAGTATGGTTTAAAAACTTGGATTGTGATATCTGGATGATCTATAAAGCTTGCATCGCATATCAAACAATTGCATTGCATATTAACATAGCATGTTAAAGGGAAGGAATCGTGCATAACATGTATAGGCAGAAAAGAAGACACACTACTTACATTGGGTCCTTGCTCTGGTTTGTTATATATTTTCGCACATCTCCATAGTCTTGGCATTCAGAAGTTGCTGAATTCTACAATAGTAAATAATAGTTCAGCAGAAGCAACAATGACCAATTTTTCTTAGCCAAATGCTCAACTCTGACTCTTTTTCTTTGTACATAAATTGATGCCAATGGAATTTTCTTACTGGAGTGTAAATTATCTTTATATTTCCATCTAAGAAGAAAAAAAATGGGCCTGAAGTCACGGCCATTCCCTATTAGTTGTATATAATGATTGCTTTGGGAGCATATTGATCCTTACTTTTTTGACTCCTAATAATTACGAGTATTAAATTTTCCTTACTGCTTTAGAAATCTCAGGTGACATTTTCTTTGAGCTATCCATTAAATTCCAGCTTATCATCTGGCACTCACAGTCTACCCTAATTTCATCAGTTTATACAAAGTTAGGCATCTGCTTCTCTCCTGCTTCCTCCTCGCAATCCACACACACATACCAGCCGATGCTGAGATAGGCAAATGTCTGGAAGAACACAGAAAAACAGAGTAAGATATCCATACCTGCCCCTGGGTGGGCCAGCAATGTCCAAACAGACTCTCACAATAGGGGCTGATGAAGTCGTCAACAGCATCTGATAAAACACAAAGTTCGAAAAAGCAGTGATCACTTCAGAAATAAAAATGTAATGAAAAGACACTTCAGTGAAGTTAGCTTGAATCTGATTTAGATAGAACAGAAATGGAAAATAGAAAAAAAAAATCCTGTCTACCTGTCTCTTATGTACCTCTTCTTAGCAGAAAGAACTTTGGGCTATAGGCACACAGGAAGTAGGGAAGTTTTATTTTAGCAATTAGAAAAACTTCCTTGCTTCTAGTACTGTTGTTTCAAAAAAAAGAGCTATTGCTCTTTTTTCCCATGAAAAATGAATTAAATATTTTGATCACCATATATATTATATTATTTGCTCATAAAATTCTCTGAGGAAAGGAAAATGGAAAAAAAGAACACAGCAAATTACATTGAAGGGAAAGTTTTGGTTCACAGGACTATGCTCTAAGTTTCCTGGATGATGAAATGAGATGAATTGCATCTCACAACAAAAGCATTTGCAGATTACATAAAAACTCCAGCATATTTTCAATGACGTCTTATGTCGTTGCATTATGACATTTGAGATAAATACTGTAGATAATGTTGTGGAGTTTGCAACATAATGTAATGATGCAGGTTTTATCATTTGCCTACTTTTATTACATTGCAGAATAACAAGCACTGCTAAAATGCATTCAGACAAAACATGACAAGCTTGAACAGCAAAACTAACAAGGGGACCCATTGAACCAATGAAAATTCAGAAAGAACATTGGCTCTAAAAGCTAATGGCCTTCATTTTCTATACACTAACAGAATAAAAAAATACACTAAAGGAGTTTGAAATCTCTGAAAGTCAGAAAGATAAACATGATTTAATAGTATGTTGAAGACATAGTGAAATGACTCTGATAACTGGAATATAGCAAATGAAGGATAGAAGTATTATTCAAGAAAACCTGAAACAATGGAAAGTGAAGATTTGGGCACTGCATCAGTCTTGGATAGAAACTAACAGCCTGAGATCAGATTGATTTTTATCTAAAGCAAGACATAGGCACACGCGGAAGAGAAAGGGGGGGGGAGACAGGAAGGGATATAAAAGGAGGCAGTTTGGGCAGGAGAGGGAGAGAAAAAAGAAGATGCAGTCTTGGGAAGAGGAGTCAGCTGGAGCTGCACGGAAGAGAAAAGAAGGAGGAGAAGGGGCAAGAGAGGAGAGGATAAAAAACAGGACTGCTGACAGCCAATCTACAATTTTGTGGCAGTCATCTGTGCCAGGTGCACACACAGGTGGCAGCAACGAACAGGCAAGAAAGCAGTTGGGGAAGGAATGTCCTCCAGGAGGAATGAAGAAAGGCAGCATCCCCCGAAGGAGATCAGCAAATGGCCTTCGCCTACTTCGCATACCCATAGACTCTGGGGGTGGGGACGCCGCAAGTGGCATGAGAGTCCATGTTACCTGAACTACACACCCTGACCCCAGCCTGCCTGGTTTCGTCAGGTAGCGGTGCACTCTCCTCACCGCGTGTGGAGGCTGGGCTGAGCGAGGTGAAGCTGGTGAGAAGCTGAACCTACCTGGGTGCATGCAGAGGAGGTGGCGAGTGCATGGCACCTCGCATCCTGGGTAAAAGGGAAGCACTCAGAACATGTGCAGCCTGTGGGGCAAAACAATCACCTGGAACACCAGGCACCATGCACTCGCCGCCTCCTCTGTGGGCACCCAGGCAGGTTCAGCGTCGCCCAGCCCAGCCTCTCTGCATGCTGAGGAAAGAGCACCACTGCCTGCTGAAACCGGCAATGTAGCACAGGTAACATGGACTCCAGTGGTGGGATTCAAATACCTGAACATCTGGTTCTCTGCATGGATGCAGGCCTGGGCCTCCGAGGCCTAGAATGGACTTCTGGAATTGACATCAATGCACTTCTGACGGGCCTTCTATGTACTTCCCTTGGGCTGTTCTAGGCCTGGGAGGCCTCCTCCAGGCCTCCCAGGCCTAGAACGGACTTCCAAAAGTGACATCAATGCACTTCTGGTGGGCCGTTCTAGGCCTGGGTGTCAAAGATCCTCACCTCACCCCTGGCAAGAAAGACATGGAGCTGTCAAGTTCACAAGTGGTTGTCAGTTTAGTTCAGGAATCTCTGGCATGCAGTTACAAGGATACTCTGCTATCAAAGTCCATTCTGGGAGCAACCGCCTCCCAGCACTTTATATACACATATGCTAATCAACCCCATCCCTGCCCACCTAACCAACATCTGGACGTGCAGGCTTAAACTGTCAGCTGTAATGCACAGACACCTTTCCACTTCGCATGTCCTCACCCCAGCCAGCTTCCGGCCGCTCCATCAGCCTCCGACCCCCAGCTGTTTGGCGGTCCTCAAATCTGGACCCAGCTGCTGCATCAGCTGTCCATTGGCCCATCAGCTGTTCGGCAGCAGCTCTACCGGCCCTCTCCGGCCTATCGGCTAGCCAGCAGCTCGTTAGCTGCTTGGCGACCAACGGACTCCGCCAGGACCACAGCAGACACATGCCTGGCTTGTCAGCTGCTCAGCGGCTGAGGGAGTCCAGCAGGCTGGAAGCAGGTGGGCTTGTTGGTGCTGGCTGCTGCCATCCTCCTCCACCCTGCATGCCATTCTTGCCCTCCCCCCATCTGTTCATGTCAAGCCTGGAGGGCTTGACACTGGGAGATTTCCACCCAGGCCTCCGTGGCCTTCCAGAAGCAGCATGGGTTCAGCTGGTTTTCCGAACTCAACAAAATTTAGCTACTGCTTCTACTGAATTGGTGCAAACTGGCTGAATCCCACCACTGGTGGACTCTTACGTCACTCACGGCGTTGCCTCCACTGGAGTCCACGAGTGTGTGAAGTGGGTGAGGGCCATTTGCTTGTCTCCTTCAGGGGATGCTGCCTTTCTTCATTCCTCCCGGAGGGCGCCCCTTCCCCACCTGCGTTTCTTACTTGTTTTTCTCCCTCCCTCATCACAAATATCTTCCCGCCACTCTGCTTTTAAGGCTGTGTGGATCTTCTCCAAAAATGCAAATCACATGACCCTGGGGATGCTGCAAAAGTCATAAGTGTGAAAAATGGTCATAAGTCACTTTTTTCAATGTTGTTGTAACTTTGAACATCACTACTGTTGTAATTCGAGGACTACCTGTACTTTATCACAGATTTTTACAATCTGTGAAAAGGTTGAAAATCTCTGGGATAGTGGACCAAAATTACACATCTACCAAATGTAAACTGAGTTAATTACTTGAAGAAAAAGTAGAAGGTGTAGAGGCAACTCTAGCCACTCTGAGACTCAACCTACAAAACAAGAAACTCCAACCAGAGGAAGAAGACTGTATCCAAACTGAACACAATAAGGAACTAACAACTATCAGAAGAAAGAAACTGTACATGAACCTTTAAAGACAGACTGATGGCAACATATCACTCATAGAAGAAAAGAACAACCATTGTTCCTGATGTCTAGTATAGCTCAGTCCGGTGAAGCCCGACTGGAGCTGAGCAATTAATTTCATATCTTCCCCCTGGAAGAAATCATGCAGACACTGGAGAAAGGACATCATCAAGTGTTCCTGCAATCAGTTTTGGTTGCCATACTACAAAACTAAACAACGTGTTTGGAACTGGGTAAGAACAGCAATTTTCTCTCTATTTGGAAACTGGAAGAAAAAAAAAACCCAAGAAGCAAAAACCCTCCAAAAGTGAGAAGGAAGGGGACTTTTGCCCCACCCTCCTGCAGATGGAAGCAGCAAATTAAACCTTTCAGGGGGAATAGAAATATTGAAATAAAAAGAATATAAGACTTAATTTGGATAAGTTTGAAATTGGTGGAATCTGTTAAGATTTTCCTTTTATAACATCAAAACAGAAGTAAATAAGTATTTATTACTGAAAGAATTGGTGCTGACATCTAGTGGTGGATGAAAATATTACAACAGCTCCTCTACTACAGAAGGAGATCTATGCTATGTTGCAACTAATCGAAACAACAATAATCTCAAACCACAAGGAAATTAAACATAAACTTGAAAACATAAATGAATACATCTCCAATTTAACTGGAACAAAGAGAAATCGTTTAGTCTAACTGTTGCTTTCTTGCCTTTTGCAATCAGCTTTTGCACCAGAGAAATTTCATGCAAGCTTGGGAAACATGTACATGGATATGATATACTGAAGGAGGGAATAAGGGAGTGTACAGGAATGATTGATGTCTTTCTTATGATGTAATGGCTCTGTTGTCTGATTTTCATTGGCTAACAAAGTTTATAAAGCAATGCTACCAACTTGCTAATGTGTGGCACTTCTGGACATAACTCTGCCAGCGTTCCAGATTGTTGGCCACCCAGCTGCTTAATTTGATCAAATAAAGTGCTACTTTATCAAGAAGTCTCCGCTTGGGTTATCTGATTAGATTGATATAGTATCTCAAGTTTAAGTAAGGGACTGGAACCTCACGTTTCTGATGAACCGAACAGGGACTTGAAAAACTTGAAACTCTTTTTTTCAAGATTGTTTTTCATTAAAACTCCTTGTGGATGAGTTCCATTGTAACTCACAACCTTCAGGCATGACATCCATGAAAACTGGTGTGGCCAAAAGATAAGGTCAAGAGTGCTCCCAGACCTTTTGTGTCTGGTGACTTTTAAATTGGCCAGCCCAACAGACCTAAGTTTGTCTGAGCCCTGAATGTTTAAGGAGATTTCCATCTTGTCCCAGTGAAGGTAGGAGGAGAAATTTGGTAAATAGAAACAAACATTCTGGAATTAGGGGGAGGTGGGGAGTGCTGTTTGCATGAATGAAAGAATGAGAAATTTCATGCCATCTTGGGAAACATGTACATGGATGTGATATACTGAAGGAGAGAATAAAGGAGTGTACAGGAATGATTGATGTCTTTCTTATGATGTAATGGCTCTGTTGTCTGATTTTCATTGGCTAACAAAGTTTATAAAGCAATGCTACCAACTTTCTAATGCGTGGCACTTCTGGATGTGACTCTGCTAGCGTTCCAGATTGTTGGCCACC